GATATAATATACAATTATATTTGTAACTACATACATATAAGATGCTGAGTTGTTTATTCAGCGAAAAGAAAAATCAACACTAGCACACTATTCAATTAAATACAAAATTGGGTTGATAACATATTGTAACCACATACATACATACATACATCATTTTTATGCTTTTCTATTTTTAATTGAGACCTTTTTATAAATTACGTTTTTACAAATTTTTAATAAAAAGCACAAAGCAGTGACAATAAAAAAGGCGAACAATTATATGCACGACATTTATTTCTACTTTAAATCAAATAGATTAAAATAATCCTTTATTGCTGTAACGGCTATAATATCAACCCATTTTGTGTGTCATTTTCATACAGTTTTTCATTTAAGTTTATTAATTGATACAATAAATCGATATATACTCGAAATATAGGTATATAGTCATAAATATTTCATAAAACATTTTTAACACCTCCAGGTAAATTTCCAAGAAATTAATTAAAATTCTAAGAAACCTATTGTTAACTGACACGCCGGCGTGTCCGCGGTCGTGGAGGGATTAAGGTCCATTTTGACGAGGTTTATGCGAGGGAGTATAAGACTTTTGTTAAAGCTTGTTATTATTTAATATAAAATGAAAATAGCAAAATTAATGTTGTTAATTATGCATATATATTATTTTAAAGGCTTTTATTATAGTAATTTAGTAATTGTTATAGTATCTGCGTATTACTAATAAAAGTATTTGCATGATGTAAACGCGATATGTTGCAAGTACAGCAAATCAAAGGGACGTATTATCCTCAACACGTACACCATGAGCCAAGTAAATCCTTAAACGTGTTAACCAACTCCATAAATGTTAAACATGCCTTTTTTGCGACAACCTTGGTCCAAACAATATCCAATAATAACAATAAAACCGTCACAATTACATGCGCGAGCGCATTATTAATATTGATCGGGTCCAACATGGCGGACAAGATGGCCGAAGGACGACGGAAGTGGCTTAATAGGTGGGTTTTCTGTTTAATTTTCATAAGAATTTCGGTTACATGAATTTTATTATTGTTCTCGATAATAAATCTGTTTTTACGATTTAATAAAATTTTAACCTGCTTCTTACGTTCATTTATGAACATAATCGAAGAATGAAGCATTTATTTTTATGATACCACTAAATATTGGACATACGCAGGTTTATTAAACTGTTCACTTCTACATAATTCTTAGCAAATAACAATTTCATACTGTTTTAAATGTCGCTGTGGCTGCTATTTTAATAACTCATAAAAGATGTTACTGGCTTGACGTTTACTGAAAATATCATAAAAATTAACATTTTCACCATAATAGTAGCTTTATATAGCTTATTATACAAATTTCATTCTTTGTTTATGGTCTTAATTATATTAATTAAACAAAGACTTTGTCCAACAATCTCACATAGAATTGAAAAGACATGGTGGATCGTTGCTTGATACTTGAAGTCACAATTACCTACGTTATATATAAGTTTAGTCTGAAAAACTGAGTTTTTACAGTATTTCTATTATTACAAAATTTATCTATATATATCAAACGTAAACAAAAAGTATAACGTATTGTTAAAAGTAAAAGTAAGGTGTTACAAATACGAAATACTATTTCTTCATCGCATAATAACAAAGAAATATTTTGAAAACTTAATTACGATTATTGACCTCTTGCACTTTGTATAATGGCCAAGTAAGAGACAATAGCAAATACGTTTTTTTGTTCTAAGACAGACGAAATTCTTTGACTTTAATTTTAATTGCATCACAGCTTTTATTATAACCTCCAGAAAAAAAGCTCTAACCTTATAGAACATTTTCGGAATAAATAAATATAACTTAAGTTACTAAATCAAGCTTTGGAAAGCTTTTGAAGGAAATATTATAAATTTTTACCTACTTCTACCAAAACAATCACAATTGTCCTTTATACTTCCCTACCATTTAAGCTTACATTAAGCTATTCTTAGCTTGCAAATACCTTAAGCACTTATCCAATCTAATAAAAATGAAGCTTAAACGATCCATTGTTTCTAAGAAAACCGTGACGGACATGTTGACATTCATACGTCGATGAAACGTTGCGATGTGACAGGTAGCGATTGGATTTTATCGTTGTGTCAAGCGTTATAAATTTTTGGAACTCGTTTCGATAACATTTATCCTTAGATTATGAAAGAAATAAACTATTAGATCTGTTAAATATTTACATTTTTTTTCTATACTAGCAGACCCCCGGCTTCGCTCGCGCTAAAACTACAAAAAAATCTCTAAAAAGGTAGTTTCATACAAACTTTCATCCCCTATTTTACCCCCTTTGATGATAAGGATAATTTTCGAAAAATGCTAAAACACGTGTTTATTTAATTTTATTGAAGGGCATTAATACCGAGTTTCAAGTAATTCTGATCATAAATATTTTTTTGGATTGTATTGTAACGTGTTTTCCCATGGGAAATAGATAATTTTCCGCGGTAAAAATTAGCCTATGTCACTCTTCAGCCCTCCAACTATTTACACATAAAAAATAATGCCAATCCGTCACTCCGTTACAACGTGAAAGAAAGACAAAAAACAAACGCACTATCACATTTATGATATTAAGTATGGATTTAGTTAGTATTACTGTTTAGCTTGTATGGAATATTTGTTAGAATACTTGTTTTAAAATTACTTAATGTCGATAGTTTTTACCATTTTCTATTATTTTTACTAAATAATTATTACATACATATTCTAGTATAAACCACTGCCCAAGCCATTAGCCCCAAGTAAGGTCATGCACCTATGTTACTGGGGTTTTCTCAGTAGCAGCTCAGTGGAGTTAGGAATTTGGTGATGTTTCACCCCCGTGTTTTGGAAGGTAAAACCGTTAGTCTGATCTCTCCCCATTGTGTTAAATTTCGAATAGAGAGGTTACTAGTATTTGTGTATACACTTGTGCACTATAATATCTCCTGTCCCGTTAGCCTGTAGTGAAACTGACCGCTTAGCAAAGCATCATAACAAATGGTTCCCTCATAATTAGTCTGTAAACGAAGGCGAGTTCACCACTAGCTAACGATATTAAGGCAAAATTTTTTAATTTTAACCTTTAAAATAGATTGAGGAAAACTTATAAAATGACGTCAAATGTAAATATAATCATACTTGACTTATCTCTAATAGCAATTCGTAAATCTTCAAGATTCGTATGTTTACTGTTTTTTCGTTTACCAATTTATTCTTTACTTGGAATAATGATTTATTATATATTTAATGAACACTCAACAAAAAGCAAGTTATTTTTTGTTACGTATTAAAAATACTTAGACGATGTTATAAAATTACATAATCTGTATAATTATATTAGATATGAAGTCATAAAGTTAATTTTGATAACTTTTTATAATGAATTAGGTATTTATTATTTATCAATTTTCGTTATTTTACATGTCTTGTTGCCTATCCCATATATACATACTAATATTATAAATGTGAAAGTTTGTAAGGATGGATGAATGGATGGATGTTTGTTTGTTACTCAATCACGTTAGAACAGCTGAACGGATCTGGACGAAATTTGGTACATAAATAGATTATAGTCTGGAATAGCACATAGGTTTCTTTTTATCCCAGAAAAATGTACCTACAGTTCTCTTGGGTTAGATTTATTTATCCTTTCAACTAGAGACAAACCGCTAACGAGTAGCTAGTTACGCATAAAATGTAAACATACAAACGAAAAGATTGAAACTTCTTTTATACAATGTATAGTGGACTTTAAAGCCCTAATTTTATATTTTCGTTTTTTTTTGAAATTTTTAATATAACTAGACCCTATTACTGTTTAAGTTAGGAAATATTTATTTTAATCTTAAACGAAATCATATTTTGATTTGTGGTTAAAATATCTAAGTGAAGTAAAATTGCAATCGAGCGATAACATGTTCGATTATAACAACTCGAAGGCCGCTATATAAGTTTTTAATAAGTAATTGTACACCAATGTTACCAATTTCAACATGAATACACGTTTTTTTTCTCGCCTCGATCGTAACAATCTCGTTTTCTCGAAAATAGATCTAATATGTTGAATATAATTAATTTCATAGCGAGTTGATCGATGCGTGATACTCGATTTTTTGTATCATTATTTTTAAATTACAGCGAATTACGTCAATTCGCCTAGAAAACGGAATGGATTTTTTATCTAGTATCGGTTTACGCAAAACTAGCATGTTAGTCAATTTTTTTACAGCTTCAAATACTTTGGCCACGTTATTCCCGTTTAATCTGAGAGCAATGTTGCTTATAATAATATAGAATTACCAAACTAGAGTAATTATCTACCTACATCATTTCTATTCCGTGATTACAAAATTATATCGTTTTTAAAAAATCTGTTTTTATTCCGTGGGAAAAAACATTCATTTGAAATTTTTACTTGTTTCAGGTTAAACACTGTTGGCTGATTGAAGACTGAACAAAATATTTTTGGAGCCAACTAGAATGTAACGGAAAAAAAATAATTCCTGGGTACGTTATACTTATTAGTTTTCATAGAAATAGGTGTTTAGAAAATTGTTTTTGTAGTAGACTTTTGTGATTTTTTATTCAATTATTGTAACTTCATAAGCGTATACTAACTTAAATAACTTTTCAAAGAGATTAATTAAAGAGTGATCAAAATTGAATAACCTTTGACCCGCTACATCGGTTGAAATCAATAAATTTATTATTTTCAAACAAGAGAGAGAAAATTTAAAAATGAAATCAAAACATTCTACAGTATTCAGCTAATCTTTGTCAACAAAAGACCATTGTTTCTTCTCGATACATTGTCTCCATTTAAATGGAACCAAAATGAATCACTGTTATTATTGGACGCTAAAATGTGTTGAATTCAATTTTGATTGTTTATAATCTCATGAAAGTAACCCATTTGTATTGTCACAGGTCGGACTTGCTTTAAGTCGTGGTAAGCAGAGTCCAAGAGCAATGACTACTGCGATGGCAGCTCACCAGGAATCGATACACGAAAGACTGCAACCTGGACCGGAGGAACCATTGTATTTACACCATGGAGGGGCCTGGAATACAGAGAACTCAGATCATCAAGAAGAGCACAGCACTGATATGTCACCTTACTACAATATGCCAAAAAGAAATAAGCGGAAGAATTTTAAGCCGAGATGTGCTCCCAATACAACTACGTTCTCTGATGATTCCAATGGAGCGAACTGTGAAACAGGCAGCCCTTTGAATGGAAACGATAGGACGACTCCGGAACAGAATGCAGAGGATGATGCAGATGAAGCAAGTTACGCTAAAATAGGCGTCAAAAACTTTAGTCTTTTAAAAGGCGGTGCCGTTGATCTAAGTCGAAGGCTAAGCACTGACTCTAATGAAAATATAGAAACGAATTACCAAAATAATTTATCAGAAGACAAAAAGGTAGACTCGTTTCAACGTTCATATATACATAGCTTACAAATTAACCAGGACGTTGAGAGGGATCGTACCATTTTAAATTTTAATAATTTACAAAATAAAACTTTCTGTGCCAAAAATCCGTTTGCTATATCGCAGTTAATCAAAACGAATTCGCCTCCTCGAAGAAGGGAGTCGGATTCTGATGAAGAAGTCAAAGGTCAAGATATTAACGCCAATGAGAGAATTGAAAATCAAGAGATAGCTGAGCCAGTGGATAATCAACAGAATGGTGATACGTCTAATACTACCAATAGGATTTTAAGAGACTATGCAATGAATACGATGAAGGAATTACTTGGAATTTATGGTTTATCATCTAATGAAGTTGCTGACGCCATAAGTGGACAGATAAGAGCGTTGGAGGCGCTCCAAGGTAAGATGATACTTGATAGCATAATTTTTACTATTTGTGACTCAAGTAAACATTTTGGTAAAGGCTAATTGTTTCATAATGTCAAAACTTTATCATTGAAGAAATATATTATTTTCGAGTTAATTAACAGCAAATATTCTATTGTTACAATAAACAAAATATAATATGACTCTCTCTTCTTCTAATATGACTAGAAATTAATTTTGGTAATGTATTTTTGTAACATTGGAAACTGTTATTTAGTTTTGTTAATGAATTTTTATTCTATATTTTTTATTAATACCTACCGTTTGTTACCAAAATAAATAAATATTCTATGGTATATGATGAATATTTAATGTTAACAGGTAAACCATTCACGCAACTACCTCTAAGCCTCAAACGTCGTCACGATTCAGGAGATGGTACCGACAGGAGTTTAAGGAGATCCTCATCAGCTACAGAAGATGAAGGATCTACTAATTTCACACCACCGAAAACACCAGATGATGATATTGAAGCCCAAAGGTAAATAGATTATGTGTTAAGTCGCTAATGATATACCGATATCTTTTGTCACTAATTTTTGCTCTACTTCAAAAAAGACAAAAAAGAGTAAAATTATTACTTTTCTAGAGATTTTTAAGTTGGTATAGCTTCCTAGTTTAAAAAGCTTTTGGCATATGTTTGGCACTGTCTTATATACTTGATACCACGAGTTCGATTCCCGCACATAGTAGTATTCATAATCATAAGACAGAGAAAAGAGGCACTGAAATATATTAAGTTATAAATATTGTGCAATCTTGATTTGTGACTATAAGAGTGTTCATTATTTTTAGGCAAAGAGCATTACAGATACTAAATCAACAGTCATTAAGACTATTCAGAACTCAAGGCCAGGAAGAAGAAGCTAGTTCGGATGATGGAGACCAGACCCTAGACCTTAGCGTCTCCAGAGATACAGATGGACAGGTAATATGGTATATGTACATAAAATACATACAATTACAATATAAATTATTTATTAAAACTTTAGGCTAAAAAAGTACCTATTAATAGAACTTTTAATGAACCCTTATTTAAATAAAAGTAATGTAAGACAAAATAAATATGTAATAATTTACTTAGGAACAGTCGACAACGTCCAGTGCCGGCAACAGCGTGTCAGAGTTCGAACAACAAAACATGTTAATGAGAAAAAATCTGGAAGATTTAGCTAATTTACAAATGCAGGTACGTCCTGAACATATTTTGTATATAATTATTATCTTTATGTAGTATAATATTATCAATAGTTTTTTTTTTAGAATTTCTTCCAAAAACAATCGATGATGGACGCTGACGATTCTCAAGAAAGAAAACTTCAGGCCAGCGGTAAGTACTGAGTATATACCAAAATTTTACAGATTTCAAAGATTTAATATATTATTAAATCATTCCTTTTCAAATAACATTTTTAAATAGATTTTTTCATTATCATTTACAAGAACAACTTAATTGTTTTCAAAGAATTAATTGCTATCATATTCTTAGAACACTTGTACGTTACATTTTAAAGAGAACTGTATTTAACTTATACTTTTACATCTCTTTCGGTGTAGAGACTTAATGACTTAACGTTAATTCGTCTACTTTTGTCATTTAAGAAATTGCCTCAAAAGGATCTCAGTATGAAAATCAAGCTTTTTAACGTATACTTTAGTTCAGTAAAGTATTCTTATATACATACAGTGGCGTAACTAGCCTTTTAGGGAGCCTAATGCAAAAAAATCCTGAAAAAATGAATTCATAATAGGCAGAGGGGGGGAGAGAGAGGTCTAGGGGTTGGTCGCTTTGCCTATTAGGAGAAAAAATGCGGAAATTTAGCACATGTTTTCCTTGCGGTTTTTTTGTAAACTTCTATAAGGGCCGTCCTTGAAAAAATGTTTATGAATTAAAATAATCGTTTGTGGTTCGCTGGGGCCCCCTGAATCAGGGGCCCGATGCGACCAAATTGGGTGTATTGATGTAACTACGCCTCTGCTTATATACCAAATACACCTCTGTAAGATTATTTATGTTTTATAATCACATAAAATTTATAAATTCATACTGAAAAAACAAAACTTCAACGCGTTGCTGTTATTAATAACAAGTGACAAGAACATATTAATACAAGAACAACTAACAAGTAATTACATTACAGCTTAAAATAAAATATTACCAGAAATTAGAGAAGCGACAGTTAAAGTTTATTCATAACTTCTTAAATATTATTTACTTTTAAAGTACAATATCTGGTCATTAACTACTATAAAATACTAAAAAAGACTATAAAAACGTCTTCGTTCATTATTTAAAATTAAAAGAGTGGATTCATTTTACATGTAAAACTTAGAAATAAAACAATGTTTTAATATTAAGTACCTACATCTTCAACAAACGAACATAAAATAGTATGTAATATTTGAAATACAACACTAATAGCAAGTGAAAAGCGTCAAAACAACGCTAATAAAAGGAAACAGCAGGATTGTGTAAACATTTTCATGACACATATTCAATGATAATTGTGTTCTCGCCGTAGGCATAATTAGTGCTAGAAACGACGGGACGCGCGACGTCTGGCCTTTGCTATGTAACGTAAATGTATTTTTTTAAATATCCCTATAAGCGATGGTTTTAGTATGTTTTATAGAAAATTTATTGCTTGCAAAAATATTTTTTATGTTTTGTTATTATGTTATATTGTGTATGGGAGACCTAGCTTTAACTGTGTTTTTTTTCAGAAAATACACTTATATATATAAACTTAAAAAGCAAAACCTTATCTTAACACAAAATTTATATTATTAAATAAAACTATCTTTTCGGATTATTTCGCGGATTTATTTTGATTTTTGGTTCCCGACGTTTCGAATGCTTTACAGCATCCATGGTCACGGGAGAGACTGACAAAATTTATAGTTATCCAAAGCCGTTTTCAAGATACATGACATAATATATATATATATATATATATATATATATATATATATATATATATATATATATATATATATATATATACGAGTACAAGAATTGTTCATTTAATATTATAAGATTTGTATTTAATTTCATGATTTTAATATTTACCTACATGATTTAAATGTATTATTGACAATTTTTACTTATCCTGTTAATATGTTTGTTATTTGTATAAGTCACAATCAAATTGGACCATAAAATAATAAACTAAAAATCAATTATTACAACCCACTCAAAAATTTTGATTTATCCAATTCTAAACAATCAATCAATCTGTACGTAACACACAATTTCGTGCCAAATACAAATCGAACCCGCAACCTATTGAGCAATGCCAGTTAAATGAAAAAATATAACAATACAAAGTCTAGTGAGATGTTCAGGTGTTACCCAATGCATTCGCACGGTAATAAAGCAAATAATCGCGCACCGGACGCTCTGAAGCGAACTATTATACGTAAATGGGAAACTATTTGCCTATTGCGTGCCCCACCGGGAACTGTAGGGGGACTGAGATGCGACGAGTAGAGCAAACTTAAAAATTGTATAACTTTCATGTTATAATCAGTATTTATTTTACATTTATCTTATTTTATTATTTACTACTTTTTTCATGTGGCTTCGCTTGCGTGGTAAGACCACTAGTAGGTCCAGGAAGGGGTAGGCGTATGTCCGTCCCAAGGATGAAATTTACGTCGTTGCCAAATATCGAAATCTGTTCACAGATTGTTCACAGATTGTTCATAGATAGTTATTTTCACGTTTATAATAATATCGTTTAGAAAAAAAAATCCTTTATATATTACCTATATAGATTACATAATACTTCCACAGATTTATTATTAGAGGGCAGTCGGTTCTAGATATACGAGTATATACACGAGCAAAGAAGAATTTTTTTTTTAATTTGTGATACAGTAAGTCTTACTGATGCACTTTGGGTGTAGTAACAGAATATGATAAAATACATATTTATATACATAGGAATATCCCTTAGATTTCTCCTATTATTTTAACATTTTATATAACTATCAATGATGCACTGAAAACCAATGATTCATTATGTTAAATATTCTCAAATAAGATATTTATATGTGTATTGTACAGTATTATTTTTCTCTTGAAGTCATGAATAAACTTATTTGTTTGCACGGTCAATTACCTGACATCCTTGTCAATTTGAATAATTGAAAATATATTTTGACCATTCATACAAAAACGCGGAACTATTTTTAATGATATAAGAAGTATGACTTTAAATATTACATTCATTTTCAATTTGAATTCTATTCAAGAGTTTGTTGTTCAAAGTTCAATATACTTCAAGGAAAAAAAGTTAATTTATGAATTATTAATATGAATATTATATTTGTAATAAAAACTTAAAAAAAACGACTTCCAGCACTAAAATGTAAAAAATAACTAACGGAGGTTTTCATTTAGAATAGGTACGTAATCAAATATTTTCGAAGTCGGTGCCAACCGATGCAAAGCAAATCTAATATATTTCGATACGTAAAATACATATTTACCTATTAGATATTCATATCTTAAAATATTGTAGGCTTGGTTGTAGGCTAGGTTCTCAATAGAACCTCCTCCTTTTTAAAAGTTGGTTAAAAATACTGTTTTTCTTCCTTAAAAGTATTAAGAAATGAATTAAGCATAAGAAATCTTATCTAAAAGGTCTAGATGCAAAGTAGAAATCACTATAGACAGTGGCGGTTAAATTTTATAAGTTAGCTCGAGTGGCAGCTGTCTGGATGCTGCAATTCACGAGATAAAAAGATACAGTAGGTAAGTTTAATCTTACATCGGGTGTTAATGATAATTATCTGAATTAAGATAAAAAATCAAAGCTATTACGTTCTTAAAAATGACCTTCACATTATATTTGTAAAGAAACTTTTGTTGCTACGAAATTTAATTCAGATGGTAATCTATTATTTTTTAATAAAATATGCGGAATGAAGCCATTCTTTGAAAATTGAACCGTACTTGGCAGAACGATTTACGTATATAGTTTATTTTTATTTATTTTAGTTCATCTTTAAGCAGTTAGGTACATTATTCCTATAATATTTCTAAATCATATCCAAACATAAATTAAAAAAAAAACATAACAATCAAAATTAAATGAATATAAACGCCTTACCAATTTAGATCATGACAAAAACACACATATAAATGACCTAATACTGGGTCATATAGCATTACGAAATGGTATATTAACGCTCCCAACCGACTCAATTGAGTGAATTCGTTTTATTGAGGAGATTACAGCTGAGGTTTCCACAATTACTACTACTAGGGGCCGCTGAGGAAGGGACCTAAAACTAGATGAATATCATTTGATTTTTCCTCGTTGTTGATTTAGATTTACTGCCCCGTATAGTACATATATGATTTATTATATTTGAACTGAGTTGGTATATTTGAGGTTTTAATGATACTTTTTGCATAGTAATCTATACATACATAATAAAATTGTAACTAAGCCGAATCTGTACAATAAATATTTTTTGGTAAATGTTATTGAAATAAACATTATTATCGATACAGAGGCCGAATCTATAGTTTTTCGAATTTTTGTCTGTCTGTTACCGCATCACAAAAAAAATTTCAACATATAGGATACTTTTTACCGCGGGAAAATATCTCATTTCTGAGAAAAAATACAAACACTACATTGTAAGAGTATACTAATATGTAAAACCTAAGGTTTTTGTTCATCTAAACGCGGGCGGAGCCGCGGGCAATGCTAGTGTTACATATTATAGGGCATTTCACGTGAAGCGGACAGCGAAAAAAACGTGAGATTCTGAAATTCATTCATATTAGGCATATTTGTACTTCTAAGGGATATGAACATGTACACATAATATTTTTTTATTTGAGGCTTAGATGTCAAGTTATGGGATTCTAATGAATTCATTAGATTGAAGTAAGGGTTCTTTGGTTTCTTTTTTCATATTGAAGTAATTATAAATAAAATAATAAATGTTCTGTATAGAAAATTTACTGTTCTTTTTGATTTTTTAACCAGATTCCAAATTTGAATTATTTGTCTAGTGTTAAACCGGAATTATGTACACAAGTACAGTATGTTAAATAAAGTCTTCGCCATACATTTTTTCTCAAAAATTACAGCAAAATGTTAAGGCCGTATTATTTTTGAGTCACAGATCACAATATTACAACTACTTTCAAAGTTCATTGTACAAGATATTAAATATTTGTTTGGAATCGATAATTAAGACAAAATAACCGAAATAACCGATCACAGAATAAATTAGTGGCGTGTCACATTTCACGGCTACATGTAAAGAATCCACGGTTTTGTGGAGAAATGCTATAGACTGTGGCGG